GATGATGAAGACAGCTGGGAAGTGGACAGACCCTGAAATAAATTTCGATTCGTACTTTAACAGAATGTTAACATATAGCTGTAGCTATGGCAAGATGGTGATGAAGACGACTAGTCAGTGAAAAAAGTGCAAGTAATTTTGTATTCATTTTTTATAAACATTCTAGAATTGAGATGTAGTTGTGGCCAGTCGATGATGAAGATGGGTAGACAGTGGACAAATTACAATGAAGAGCAGAGGGGAATTTGGATTCAATCGTTTTTTTATGGATTTTTACTAAGAATTTTCTACAAGCATTTACGGCCGAAATTTGAACGTATTCCTCTTCTAGACATGATAACCGTTCTATTTAAATACCACACATATTAATTACTTTTGTTTACGGATCAGTCATAACAAAAATTATCCATTAACACTTCGGCTGCTAATTATGGAGATCGTTTTTCTTATCTTGCTCCAGCTGGCTAAGTACGGAAACCTACGTTTTTTTTACATACCGCTGGTATGAGTGTCCCGTTGCGCCATCTATCGTCAAATCACAAAGGACAATGCTTCAAAAGATATCATGTGTATACCCATTACTGATCTGGTAAGTCATTACCAGGTATATCCATGAAAATGGAATGCTGTAAAACACACTGGTGCAGTTTTCTGTGTAATAAAATATATAGGTTGAAATTTGGCATTTTCTTTTAAAATGGCTGACTGGATGGGGGCAGCACTGGGCAAACGAGTAGCAGTGAAAGTGTTAACTGCCAAATATTTTAATGCGAATTTTTGGCCCTGACAGTTGTCTTAGGAGTTTATTTATTCGTTACGTTTAATTTTAGTAGTTATCATTGTCATTTTTATAGAAACTAGAACATCAAATATATATGTGTATAAAACATCAAAAAATAATATTGATTAGAAATAATAAAAAAAAATATTTTTTAAAATAGTCATTATTTCTCTACTCGTGAAATGCAAAATTACGACAGAAAGTGTCTTATGGCTAATAATAAAAAAAAAACTTTAATGGCTAAGTCTTGTAAAATATACCTCTGCAAATGCAATGTATGTAAGCAAATCAATATAAATACAAGGAATAACATGTAGTGAGTTTAATTTTAACAGATCCCCAAATGGGGCTCATGGCAGGTAATGGGTTAATATATTAGATAACGAATTTGAACACAAAATAGGTTACACTCGGTTCCATTAATCTAACACTGTAAGATCCCTTGTTCATAAGTAGCAACATCATATATTATGCGTTCGCCGGAGGAGGGGTGTATTCAACATTTGATAACTTTGCAACCAATATTAGCTTGAAAGTTTTAGGCAGTTTTGATAAACATTTCTTTTCATGGTTAGACGTAAGGAATTTTAAATATAGGGCTACCTTAGATTTAAGTAAAATAATAACAATAATAATATTTATTAAGATTTTATTACAGGAAATATCAAGTTTATGGAAATAGTGTTGACAATTATGTATTTAGTTACATAAATAAATACAAAATAATATAAATTTTGATGCTATATTTGATTTGTTGTTTGGTATTTTTCATTCTCTCCTTTGTTGTTGGCAACATTTTAGAATAATCTGGCTGCAATGCTGAATTTCTTAAATTGAAAAAACTGGAGCTATTTCGTTTACACTTTGTTAACTCTCTTTTCCATTGTTATTTTTAGATCGCTTTCTTCCAGTCATTTTGATGGGCAATAGCGAAATTTAAAAATTCAGAATGATCTTACTCCACTTCCAAAATTAAACGTGTAAAAAGGAATATTTTAAATTAATATACGAACTAAAATAAAATGTTTTTGAGAAAAAGGTCAATGATTTCACTATAATAATGTAACAATAATTTAATGAGATATTCTGCAGAAAATATCTATGGTACCCCATCGCATTGCATAGTTATAAAATGTAAACCTAAGTTCAGCTTGAAATGTTGTGTAATTGGCTCTAATTTTTTATTGAATAAGTTACTCCTCTGCCGAACGTGTCATATATATTTGTAATTATATCACTCCAAGCAAAATAATAAATTCACGAGGACGTAAAGGACTACCGATTGACAAAGAACAAGGAAAAAAAAACACATTATTAAGGAGAGAGAAACATAAAACAACATCCATTAGAAGACAGATGATATCGATTGGCAATGGGAATGGTAGCAGAAAGACGTCTTGTGAATAGGTTCGTGCCTAACAAACGACTTAAACTAAATATCGAGAGATGCTACACCCTCGACCTGAACCCAATTGAGCTCAGAATTGTGAAGATTGACAAGAGCCCGGAGAGAAAGAAAATAAACTGGACATTCATATGGATGTCATGGCGTCCAACAAAATTTGAGCTAAGAAAACTATTGTAAGCAAAGAACCGTTTTGTAAAAAAAAAAATCGCCTATACTAAATGATTTAGTCTCCCTCGCTGTAGTGGTCGCAAAGAAAATCCTCATTATGCTACGCGTCGCTTTGTGCATGAGGACATTATTTACACTGTTTACATCATTCGAACATATGTCTTCGTCATTATTGCGATATTCACGATGTTTCAAACTTTGTACTCCCCGAAAAACTGTGAAAATGAAAATAAAGACGAGGGCAACACCCCAAATGATGTAAATAGTTTAAATATTTACAATGCCTCATCACAGAAAAAGAGACAGATGTTGAAGGTGAATATAGCAATAAAGATGAGGACAATAGTCCAAACAATGTAAATAGTGTATATAGTTACAATACCACATCTGAGAAATAGAGACAGATGTTGAAGGTGAATATGGCAATAAAAATGAGGACAACAGTCCAAACAATGTAAATAGTGTAAATAGTTACAATACCTCATCTCATAAATAGAGACAGATGTTGAAGGTGAATATGGCAATAAAGATGAGGACAACAGTCTGAACAATGTAAATAGTGTAAATAGTTACAATATCTCATCTCAGAAATAGAGACAGATATTGAAGGTGAATATGGCAATAAAGATGAGGACAACCGTCCGAACAATGTAAATAGTGTAAATAGTTACAATACCACATCTCAGAAATAGAGACAGATGTTGAAGGTGAAGATGGCAATAAAGACGAGAACAACAGTCCAGACAATGTAAATAGTGTTAATAGTTACAATACTGCATCTGAGAAACAGATGAGACAGATGCAATAAAGGTGAATATTGAACAATAAAGATGAGGACAACTCATCTCAGAAATAGAGTGTTGAACAATATAAAAAGATGTAAATAGTTACAATAACTCATCTCAGAAATAGAGACAGATATTGAAGGTAAAGAATATGACAATAAAGATGAGGACATCAGTCCAAACAATGTAAATAAAGTGTAAATAGTAAATAGTTACAATACTGCATCTGAGAAATAGAGACAGATGTTGAAGGTGAATATGACAATAAAGATGAGGACAACAGTCTGAACAATGTAAATAGTGTAAATAGTCACAATACCTCATCTCAGAAATGTAGCCAAATGTTGAAAATGAATATGGCAATAAATATGAGGACAAGACTCCGCACAATGTAAATAGTGTAAATAATTCTAATACAAATGTAAACATTTGTATTAGAAGGTCTGAAGTGTTGAGGCCATTTTTACCGACCTCAACGAAATAAATATCAATCAGCTTTTCATGTTTTTCATGATATACTAATTATCGCTCTGTCTCTGACTAGAAGTCTCACTGGATCTATATCCTCTTGGAATTTCCATATAGATTACCGATATATATATATATATATATATATATATATATATATATATATATATATATATATATATATATATATATATATGGTAAAACAGTGATGACACATACCATAATCCAGCATAAAAATATATATTGTAATGCCAATGGCAATATTAACTGTTTACTTACAAGCATGAATTGACTGAGCAACCGTTACTGATTTGAGTTGAAATTTATAAAATCTTGCTCATGAAAATAGCTTTTTCGAGTGAAACATGTATTATCCCTTTTTCCATTATTGATGGATGTTTCCTTTCTAACCTTTTATTTGAAACAATGTGGAATATCAACATCTTGTTTATGTCGTTCTTTTCTCTTGAGTTACATGTGATATGCATTTCAGTTGGTGAATGTACTCAAGTGATGAGGTCTCTCTTATTTGGAAAAGTTCTTTGTGATTCTCTGGTCTTGTCTTCTTTTTGTAGAGTCAGTTGGAATACGGTATTGAATGTTTAAATGGTTGAATGTTTAATTTTTGAATTTTAGTTATCGGCGAAGCAAATAAGTGGAAGGGGGTTCCACTCTCGGGAAGAGCGAGAGAAGAAGCTGTTGGAGAAGAAGTGGCCGTTACATTAAACTGTTTCAACAGTAAAGGGGTAGAACCTAGATGTCAACTTAGCAGCACGCTTAAACTCATGTCGTTGTGGTAACAATGAAAATAGCTCTTCAGAGAAGTTGCCATGAAATAGGTGTAGAAAAGACAGAGGGAAACCACATCACGTCTTTGAGAAAGTGACTGGAGTTGAAATGCCAAGTAAGGATCGATCAAATTTCAGATTCTTCTTTGGATTATTTCGAGAGCCAGGTGATGAACAGCAGGAGCGCCATATTTGTCAACAGTATTCACTTTTGTATGACGTCATCATTATGGTTATTTGATGTAACTGATGAGATATATTCAAATAATTTTATTCAGATTTGATATTGTTCATTTTTTTCCTATTAATTTTGTTCAGTCGCTTAGCTTCTAAAATTTAACATAAAAAAATGTTGTAAGAGCCGCATGACATGACTGCGTGGCAGAGGGTTTTCTGTAACTGGAGTTAACTGACAGGGAAGAGATTTCCCACGTTAAGATCAACGGCCAAGTGTCCATGATCTTAGCGAGGTTTCAAGCGGGAAGTTATCGGTTTCGGTCCGACATGATGGTCTTAGCAAGTGGGTGACAGATAATAAATAACAGCGTTTATTAAAAGCTACCAAGAAGAGAAAATTGTGGAGAGTCACGATCGCCGACCTCTTAAAAGACACGGCAAGAGGAAAAGACACAAAAATGAAGAAAAAGAAAGGAGTCAGGAGAGAAATAACAAAGAAAGTGGCGAAAACGCTTTGAAAAGTGAATAACAGTCAGTGGCAAGGAGCCTTTGTGCCCCTTGTCGGAAAAGATAGCCGCGTTGAGCTAATGAAGTAAGGATATTCTGAAAGGCAACGCAATTTTTTTTAACATTTCTCAAACATATGCCCTACCAGGAGAAAACACTTGATCAACACGTTCTATCCTTAGAATATGAAATAACACAGCTTTCGTCACTACATCTCGCAGTATAGGTCCGGCTTCCTACGTTGTCACTGTTATTTAAGTTTTATACATTGTTCTACTTTCTTTATACACACATACACATACACACAAACAAACACACACACAGACATACATACATACACACACACACACACACACACACACACACATATATATATATATATATATATATATATATATATATATATATATATATATGATGTACCTGCGGGCATGTGTCGGAAGCGCTGTTACGGTAGTTGTTTTAAGGATGTGAAACCTCTCAAAGTATTTATTACCGAAAGAGCGAAATCTCAGAAACAAATAAACATATATGTATGTATAAATATAATCTCACACAAAAATATATATATATATATATATATATATATATATATATATATATATATATATATATATTATATATATATATATATATATATATATATATATATATATATATATATATATATATATATGAGAGAGAGAGAAAGAGAGAGGGAAAGAGAGATAGTCAGAGGAAAAAAGTGACAGATGTAGTTTTATTTTATGTTGATGATTCTTAAAATATTTGTTTTCTTCATTTCAAGAAGCTAAGTATTTTCAAACGTCTTTCCGCCGATGGCAATGTGAAGCATTTTGTAACAAATTCGTGAAAGAACTCGACCGGAGTTTTTCTCCACGACAACGTTTTTTTCTTTTTTTTTTTTTTTCTTTTTTTTTTTCATAAAGGTGACATTGACATTATAATGATTGGTAGCAAAAGGTAGAATATTAATCTGTTTACGACGGTTACGTTTTTGAGAAATTGAATAATTTACGTATTAAATTAACGACTATTATATCTGTAATAATTATTGGCTGTGGGGAAAATTTGATTTCCCAAGTAATATCCACAAAACTCATAAACGGATTCAGATAATTGAACAATTTATTTTATTTTTTTTATGTGCATATATGAACACCTGAGTTTCACATGTACGAATGCAGCCAAAATGTTATGACATTGTTCGGATACAAAAAAGCACTGGACTAAATATAATACACTACTACAAAATCTGGCAAATATATATATAATTTAGACTCTACTTCTGCATTGAGCACAGTTTTTTTTTAAAATAAAAACAAAAATATTAAAGAATTTTGGATTATTAACCCAAGGAGTTCTTTCCTATTTTTCTATATATTTACACACACACACACACACACACACACACACACACACACATATATATATATATATATATATATATATATATATATATATATATATATATACATATATATATATATATGCATATATATATACATATACATATGCACACACACACACACACATATATATATATATATACATATACATACACACACACACATATATATACACGTTTCATTAAATAATATAGACAAGTGTTGTCTATTTATTTCATGTAAACTCTTTTATAACGTCTGATAAGTTTTAAAACATTATCGTTGAACGAAAAAGAAATTCACAATATTGATCCATTTTTTTAATACAATCTAAGCTTTCGGCTTATATAAGCCATTATCAAAGATGTCAATTAGAACACATTATGCAATATACGGACAAGACATATATATATATATATATATATATATATATATATATATATAGATATAGATATAGATATGTGTGTGTGCGCGCGTGTGTGCGTGTATATATTAATATATTGGAAGGCACTTCGACGTTCTAATGCTGCTTGGGTTTTTGGTGTCATAATTTGATATGAGAATTCTTCTCTAACTTGAGAGGAAGAAACAAATCTCTAAATCTTTTTTTTTTCTTTGGTTATTGATTTCGTTTGCCAATATGTTTGTATTCAATTTTGGACAAACATTCTTTTCAATTTATGATTTTAATAATTACGAATAGAAATCTTAATTACGCATTTTTCTAAATCATTTTTCTTTATGAATTTTTATTTAGGCGTTATCATTGAGGCCTTCATCGTTCAAATAACGATTCCGAAACTGAATAAGTTCAACGAAAGTATTGGGATTTTGAATGTATTTAACAATTAATCGATCGTTCCTTTTGTTGATGGGGTTTGTAATTTCATTTCCTCTTGCGTAAATTCGTTTTAATTCATAACCATCGATATAGCCAAATTTAAGAATTGGATTAAAAAATAAAATAAATGAAATATAGAAATCAATTATTACGGATATTGTCTGTAATAATTAATGACTGAGATTCTGAATAACACTCGAGTGCAACAGAGAAAAAACAGTTAAAAATTTAGAAGCAATCCTTGAATTTTATTATACACAGATGAAAGAGGGAAGGGAAAAGTAAAGGAAGAAGAAAAAAATAAAGCCAGAAGAAAGAAAACACATGAAAGAAAGATGAGAGAATTGATAAACGGAAGCAGGATGAAAAAGGAAAGAAAAACGGTGAGATGAGAGGAAGAAAACAGCGCAGAAAAAGATGAAGAAAGATAAAAGAAAAGTAAAAAGGGAGGAGGAAAAGAAGAAGATGGGAAGAAATGACGACCATAAAGAAGAGAAATGAGAATAAATATGGAAAGTGGAGAGACAAATCCGAGAAGAAAACTGAAAGAATGAAAATGAATCCATCAGAAGAGAAATGATAACTAGGATCGAGAATCGTTCGCGCCCTTGAAAAAAAAAGGTGGGAAATGAAAGAAAAAGAAAAGAGAAAGAATAAAGAAGAATGCAAAAGCCTAAAACGAAGGGAGATAGAATAAGTGAAAAAGAAGAAGACGCCGAAATGTCACCAATCAAAAGGAAAAAAAAAACGTAATTAAAAAGAAAAAAAAAAAGACAAGCATGACGAAGAAAAGAGAACGAAACAAGTTGAAGAGAAACGTCACCAATAAAAGGATACTTAAATAATATTTTTACAGCTTATCAACCCTTTGTCGATTACTTAAAGCCGATTGTAAGACATAATATTTTTTCTGAGAAGTGAATATTTTATTAGTAATTTCCTTTAGAATAACACCGATTTTTTTTAGATACATGTTCTACTATTTAACCCATAGCTGGATGGATTCATGCCTTTCCTCAGGGTACTAGCACGTAAACAAATCTAACGAATCCTACTGGAATTCGAACTCGGATACCACAGCAACGGGATCGATTTACAAGATACCGTGTTTTTGTTTTTTTTTTTTTTTTTCAAGTTCCAACTGCTGTTTGCCCCCAGTTTTTATTGGCATGAGGCTTCTTAAAAAGACCCGGATCATGACCAATTCCAGAGAGGACCGTATCTAGCTAGACATGACAAACTTTCCTGCTACTAACGGGACAAAACCCGGATGTAGACGAACATGTCTGCATGCCACCAGAGAGCACTTTTGCGTCTCTACTGACGCGTGTTCGCCACATAGCCGTGAAGGTTTGGTCTTCTGCAACTAAAAAAAAAAAGAAATAGCCCGTGTCTGTAGAAAGTCATAGGACAGGACACACAAAAAGAAAATAGATTGTAACTGAGACATTTTCTGGTAGAATATCTTTGCCGAAATATTCTCACCATACGCGTGACGCTGGAACAAAAACAACACGCTGATCAAATTATTATATCATAAGCTAAATAGAAATGTAGACCACTTGTCCCTTGAATGAACCGATGACTTAGCAAAACAGCTGAAAGGGGAAAAAAACCTTTTAGCGGGAAAAATTGATGTGAATAATAATGGTTAGATAAATTGACAGCTGAAATGACAATTTTACATTGTTATGAAACCAGTGTCGTATATTTCCTGGTTTTGACAATTGATGGCGATGCCAAGGTCTGAGGTCATTGATTCCAGAATCGATCTTTATATTATGGCCATTCTATCATTTGTTGCTCACATTTTCAATATTTAATTATATTGCAAAGAAAAACAACAGTCTTTCGATTGACGGCGAATCGTCGATCGGCATTATTCAAGCCGCAAGCTGTTCGATGTTGTCCTTGTCTATTGCTGTTATCAGCGACTGAATTCGGAACCTCCAAAAAGTAGTTACACTCAGCAAGTTGTCCTTCTCCTAAATGGCGTATACTCAAGTAAATGCGAAGCTGTCATTTTCGGTTAGTGAGGACAAGGAAATTACGGGTATTGCCAGGGAAAGACAGAAAGGTGTACACTAAAAATTAAAAAGGGAAAGAATAAAACAAGAGAGTAACAAGAGAATACTGTGATACAATTCCTCATCGACACACAAAGGAATGAAACACAAAGAAAGTGACCAAGAAAGAACGTAACAAAAAAGAAACAAAAACTAAATAGAAACAAAGAAAAGGTAAGAAACAGAGAAATTACCCAAGAAACAAAACAAAAAAGAAACAGAAAGAAAGAAAAAACAAACAAACACATAGAAAAGAAAGAAACAAAAACAAAAAGAGGAGCAAAGAATGTAACAAAGAAAGTAGGAAAAACTGACAAACATAAAAAGAAAGTAACAAAGAAAGTAACAAAGAAAGAAAAAAGATAGTAACAAATAAGAAATAGCAAAGAAAGCGACAAACAAAAAAAGAAACACACACAAAGTAAAAAAGAAAGGAAGTAGCAGAGAGACAAAAACAAAAAAGAAACACAAAGAATGTAACAAAGATTAAGAAACAAAGAAACTAATAAACAAAAAGAGAAATATAAAGGAAGTAACAAAGAAAGTAACGGAGAAACTAACAAGTAAAAAAGAAACATAAAGAAAGTAACAAAGAAACAAAAACAAAAAATAAAGAAACACAAAGAACGTAACAAAAAAGTAACAAACAACGAAACTAATAAACAAAACGAGAAGCATAAAGCAAGTAAGAAAGGCAGTAACGAAGAAACTAACAAGTAAAAAAGAAACATAAAGAAAGTAACAAAGAAAGTAACAAGCATAAAAAAGACGTAACTTCTTCTTAAATTATTATTTAAACTATTTATATATTGCCTATTGTTCTCATCTAGTGTTATCATGTCTCGTTCCTATTTTTGTACTGTTTAGTTACTGTCCAACTTCATGGACACTGGAACGAAAACAATCTGCACCTCCCTAGATTAATTAAATGGTTAAGTTTATGAAATTTCCTGTAGATTTTCCGAGTTAATATACGCCTGATAAAGCCCAAGAAGCATCCGAAATCGTTGGGACAACCAAAAAGTTAATTCCGCATGTAAATACTGCACATAATACAGAAACGTAACGTTTATTGGCGCGACCATTGCAATAGGCGTGCCGTGATCAAAGTGAGTCAGAGACATTTTCGTTCTTACCCTACGGATTAAACAAGAGGACAGGTTGTGCTCTTTATCCGTGAAGGATAACTACTTTTAAACCCTGTTAGGCATGACATGGTCAAATCCACCCTGTAGATAAAAAAAAATCCCGCTGCTACAAAAACCAATACATGTTCCTGCCTCTAGAGGCGGGAACATTAAAATCCAAACGATCTAAGAAAACAGCCATCACACTTTCATTCACTTCAAACTTGTGCCTTTGCTATTGGCTAAATAGAAATGCAGAGGAAGCTCTCTTGACAACAAAATTGGCCAAATCGTGTAACAGCATAGGATAATTGTCCATAGCACAAAATGTTTAATATCTAAAAAAACACTAAACTGAATTTATTTCTTCCAGGTTTTCACATAAGACGTCTACCCATCCTGACACCATTTGTCGTTAGAATCACTGAAAAACCCTTTGAGATATTCAGCTAGAAAGAGAACAGGTAAAAATCGTTTTGTGTTAGGCCCACTGTCTTCTCAAATGGGCAATGGTGAGAAGAAAAAAATATCATTCAGGCTTCGGTAATGGTACCAAAAGTCATAATCTGGCTTTCATCTTCAAAGTTCATTCAAGAACCATCTAGAAAAAGGTGAATAGATCTAAAAAAAAAAAGAAAGAAGGAACAGTAGAGAGGAAAACTGAATCAGGAGGTCACACCATGAAAGGCGATCAGCATTTCAACTTAAATCTAAAGAGATCAGTTAGAAAAGATTCAACTCAATCGATAAGCGTTTGGTACGTGAGACTGGGGTTTCAGCCATGACAGTCCAGACAGCATAGAAAAAAAAAACTTGAAAATGAAATCACGCGTGAAACATGTGAAGCGACTTGTTACTCCAGGTCTGAAAAAAGTTAGAGAGGGCGAAGATCATCTGTAATAAGTTAGAAAATCAACCTGAAATAATATATATTTTCTATTTGAAGTTTATTTCAATCCTTCTGATCTTTAGCTATGATTAATTCATTTTCGTTTATGATCGATTTCCTCACGATTCTTCTGTTAAGCTTGGATAGTCATTATGCATGCTTATTGCTCGAAGTATAGTCCAGGAGTGTTGTAAAAACCTCAGAAATTCCAGTAAGATATCTTTAATCATTTCTAACATAAAACGGTTCAGAAGTTAATCTAACAAGTGGGCAATTTTGCTGTTACAGTCGTAGTAGTATGTGTAGGATCCTCAGTCGATTTTACTGCCACGGGTTCACCAAATGTGGCTTTGCTGATTTCTATATCAATTCGGTTTTTATTATGTTTAGCTACGTTTAACACTTTGCATTCCGTGCTGGTTTTCTTCAAGACGTTTCTCTTAATTAAATCCCTTCCACCAAAGCGATAATGCCCTTAACTTGCAAGGGGCTACTGAGACTGGAAAAAGTGTAAAAAAGCATTTAGAAAGAATCGGAAACCCAAGCCTAAATGGGAAGCAAGGGATAAACCTCTACGTTATTCAAAAACACCGGAGAGGTGTCTTGACTGGATGATAGGGGTACCTACTCGTTGCTAATCAAGGCTATATATGTCGATCTACTATATTATTTAACTCATATCTGGAAATATGTGATGATGAAACTTACCACACTTTAATTCTTAATGTTTCCATACCAAAGTTGAATGCTTATCAGAAGATTTTCCAAGAAAATATTTATAGAAAAAACACTTGGAAGCTACGGTACGGTGGTCAGAATTGACTGAAGCTGAGGGGACAGGTCAGCACCAATAAGATTGCAGATTTGTTTTATTACATTTTATCAAGTATCTCTAAATGTATAGCAGAAGCACTAAACTAGATGTGACAACAATATTCAACAAATGGCAAATTTGTAAACATCTAAGTGAAAAAAAAATTATAGTACGATACATTAAGGCAACTTTCCTAGCAATTCAATAGAATATTTCCATTTCATGTCAACGGAAAACTTTTAAACCGAGAACTCTCATCAATTTACTGTCGTGGAGGTGAGCATTCGCCATACTGATGAAAGACAACAAAAAAAAGGTTCTAGACGATTAATAGAATATAGTTTCATTTTGAAATCATGAAAATTAACAATCCATTTATTGCTCCAGTTAACAACAGCTTATAGGTATTTTCTTTTAATATCAGTTGCCAATTTGACCTTATGGAACCGGTCAGACTTGCTATTAACACAGTTGATTAACAAGTTGTGTACTCATGACATCGGGAAGTTCTTCGATGAAAAATAAGAACTTAAACGGAGCTTTAGGTGATACCCGCATTAATTCAAATACATCTAGAATTGTGGCGACCAAGCGAAGTTTCTTTTCATATATATTTAGGTACAATGAAAGATGTATATCACACAACTATAAACAAGAAATAAATTGAAATAAGTGATATATAAAAAAAAATCTTTACATCAAAGAATCTAATAGATACATAATTAGATGAGAAATCTTATAGCGTATTTTACGACACTGAAACGCGAGGTTACTTTACAATCAAAACGATAAAATAAAATATTATTTGACAACAATGTAAAATTTATAGTGTTTTTGCTATACATAGCCCGTCTCTCGGTAGCGCTATCTATATTTACACGCATTAAATTATTCAGTTCGATGTAAATATGCGAAAGCCTACTAGTGTTACATTAATTAACTCTTGTCGTGTTCATAAAGAAATACATTAAAAAATCCCTTATGCTGTCACCGTGCGGTGTCCCAAATAAATAAATAAATAAGAATTAATTATAGTGTCAAAAATAATTATAACAATTATAATTATGATTAATTCACTCTTTTTAAACCAATCAGAATCGACCCCGCTTTTTTTTACTATCGAACGACCGATCAAAAAATACTATACAAATTATTTGTTCATTATTTTATCCTTCTTCTGCTTTGGTTTATTTTGTTTTATGGCATATAATATGAATAGAATATGTAATCTTTGTAAGAAATCAGTTTGTAGATCAGGTTTCATTGACATATTTTATTAGGTTGGTGGAAAAATAATGACGTAAGAATGTCGTTAAAAAATATGTCAAAAAACGACATTATTACGTCATTGTTTTTGCACCAACCTAATAGTAAAGAGGGTTTTTGTCAAGTGTCAAATGTATTGCTGGTCATTTGATTTTTCAAAAATGTATTGCTAGTAATATTTTTTTTTTTCAAAAAATTATATTGCTGGTAATATATATATATATATATATATTTTTTTTTTTTCAAAAACGCCTTGCTGGTAATATTTTTTTCCAAATATGTATTGTTGATATTTCTTACAATAAAATGTATTTTTATACATTCATAGTGTTTTGACCCTAGTATTTGGGGTTACACACTTACCCATTGCTGGAAACCTAACAGGTGCTACAACCCCGGGTCAAGTTTAACCTGGGAACAAGAGCAATTAACAGGTGGTACCCCACTCCTAAAAATCTTCCGATTAGAGGCCTTGTTGCCGGATGTAGTTTATCGTCTATCCTTCTGTAGGATTCCGATATATATTTGATCTACTTTTGACCTCAAACTCACAATTTTACTCAGTATTGCCGTCTGCTGTTTCTTCAGCTCCACATAAATACCAGATAAGAAATAATACAAGTTTTCTTGTTTCAAAGTCTTGCTCTTTCTCAGTTTTACGAATATTTTTGTATATATGAATAATATGGTACTTTATAATGATTTACTTGGAGTTATAACTCCCCTACAGGTTTCTTCGAAAGACACCAGCTCTGGCCATTTTTCCCCAAATGAAACAGAATATTTAAGGAGATTAACGTACGATGTGCCTGATGCGTTTCGTTGTATATTCTCTGCCTTAAGAAAAAAAAACAGCTCAGAGGAATTATATCTACACACACAAATCCACTGACTTGCTAACTCAATGTGATTCGTAAAGAACTATTTTGCTGACAGGGATACCGGATAATTTCATTGAGGAAACGAATGTTTTTAAAACAGATCATGTGTTGCGTCTTCTGATCTCATTGGCTTCATTTCTTCAGATCACCAACGGTACACCATAGATTGCATCTTTTCTTTCTTTTTTATATGAAGGACAGTAGGTGTAACATTGCCTCTAGAGGAGTCGCGGGGGGGAGAGAAAACCAGGATGGAGTGTGTTAATTAATTGGCTAACAGTTCATTACTGATGATTTGCCTCATTAACGAATTTGGATGAGAGAGGGTGTTCATTCTCCAAATTTCCCCAGCTGTCTCAGTGTCTTCGTCTCTTTTTTATATAAAAAAATGAAACAAAGCCAATCCACCATTCCCATATTTTCACGCCCACGTGTCTTCTGACCAGCAATTTGATATCCTGTGCCTGCCTACGAATTATATAACACAAGAACGTCAGATAGATTTAAACAATATCACGAAATTTGTTTGTCTCGTTAGAGTCTGCAGTGCCCTGTTAATTCTTTCTTTTTATGTGCCATGTCCTTTCAGGACGTACGCGATCATGGCTCTCCACCTCCTTCTATCCCTTGCAGCTCTCAACAAGTTCCTTTTCTCTGCTTCCTCTCCCCAGACTACGTTCTGTCATCCACTTGCTTAAGTCCGCCAGCTACTTCAGACGTTGTTTTCCCTTGTCTCTCTTTCCCTCTCTTCGACCTGCGAGTATCAGATTCTCCAGTCCCTCCT